TGCACTCCCCCCCTCCCAGCGCAGATAATCGTGTCATGTATTAGACAAAGACATAGACATATCAGTAAATATCTAGTGGAACATCCATCCTTAACCCTGGGTATCCCCCCCCCCCACCGACCCTGCACTCTATGGCTTTGCCCATTGATCTGGTATCAACCTGCCGTGTCCACTAAAATAACACGGCTATTGGCGATACAATTCCATTAGACGGATAATAGCATGAGTGAAAAGGGTCAAATGTCAATTCTGAAATGGAATACAACATATCCAGGGGCTTAAGGGCATTTGAATACCTGTCCTTGGAGACAAAAATAAACATTTACATATTTGGTGAAACGGGACTAGGGACCGTTTAAAAACATTTTTTTATAGTTCCAAAGTATCCTTAACATTTAGACCCAATGCTGGTCTATAACATTTCAAATGAAACACTTGCCATGTCATATTTTATAATTACAAACATTGTCTTACCTGTTTTAGATCCAGGTCGTATCCTCATATCGTACTTCCTTTCATCTTTGATCCTCAGAAAGTCAACCAGAGTGAAGGCGACACTGTCATTGTAGTATTTGTCTTCTGGCGGAGGCGCGTCCTTTTTCGTGTCCTTTACACTCGTGGTGCTGCAATTTAAGAAACGTAAATTAATTTTCTTTGGCTGAACCTTTTTTTACGCGGGTAACAAGAGTTTACAAAAGTATTCTTCAAATACATAGGTGCAGAAATACAGACCTAATCAAATAACTAAGTTCAATAAAACAAATGTGTTTAATATTTATATCATTTAAAGAAAAAAGAGTGCTTAAGAGATGTTTTGAAAATTAATCTAAATCAAATTAAAAAATGAAAACAACATCAAATTTTACTAAATTGCCAGTGTATAAAAACATTTTGAGAATATCAAAAATGAAACAGAGTATTTCACGTGAATAAACACATGACAATACATTACCTTGTTGTTTTTTTATTAAGTTGTCACCTGTAGAAACATTATAAAGTCACCTTGGCAACGTTCATACAAAACCTTGTGTAAAGGTTGCTTTTATTGTGTCAACAAGTAAAAGATGATAATCAGTTTTTGCTGGGTAAAACATGCAATGTACCCAATAAAGATTTCTTATGAAAAAGGGTAACTCGTAGAAAATGTGCTCAGTTTTAAACTACAGTGCCACTAATGAGTAGAAGTAACGTAGATAAAAAACATGGACGATTTGCTATATGAAATGGTGGGAAGCAATGAGAGTGACAACATGTACATGTATGTGTTCAGTGGATATAAATCGGAGCTGTGTATATGACCGTGCTTTTTACTATACAGATGTATGGAAGCGACTCAAGCAAAAGTGTGGTTTATTCAAAACCACGTATTCAAACTACACGCAGTGGGTGTGGATAACGGTATAAATCTCGCGGAGGAGTTCCAAATATCAATAAAATGGATGAAATGTTTGAAAAGTCAGTAAGGAGAATGATACACACCAAATCTAATCAGTTGGTAGAATTTGACAACATGAATGAAAGGCTATGGAAAGCTAAGCTTGGAGTGTCGTCGTGCCAGAATATTTGACCATTTGACTTACGTTTTTGAGAGTAATGCTCTCAGGGTACTCACTGCTACGGGGTATAGGCGGCAATGTAAGTGTTTTCTGGCACTATAAAAAAGGCATAACTGTTATCCTAATCGATTTTACCGGTGTTCTCTATTAATGACGCACAAGTTGGGTTCTAAATTAAAAAATAGATATACAGTTTGCAGTATCCCTTGTGGCCACTCTATTGTCACCATTCCAAAAAGCCTTTTTTTGCAACTGTACCTCTTTTACATTGAAGATAGATGAAGGCAAGCGCTTCTGCATCAAAATAAAGGTTTGCGATTGATTACATTATATAACTTGCAGGTGTCACGCAAGTTTACAATTAAATGCGTTAGCTGTAATAAAAACTTCGAATTAGATTTCTGGCTTTTTGAAACAACCACACGCACAAACTGCAAAAAGAATTATATCACCTAACTGCCGTCTAGTCTTTAAAGCACTCTTTGTTATCTTACTATAGCGTTAAACATAATGATCAATTGACGTTGGAAATACTAACTTTGTCAACTATCTTTTCATGGATTTTTAAAAACTCAGTCCACAATGTTTTTCCTGGGAAGGACTTCGGTTCCATACTCCTTTTTTCATCTTTTCCCACTCGCAGGGTCCACCACCAAACAAACGATATATTTATCCTCAATTTATGATAAAAACTGTTGAATAACCTCATGCAATATAGCAAGAGCCATGCGACATTTAAGGGGGAGCCATGGCTACAACACCTGGAACTTCAAAAGTATTTATGAGATTCGAAATTTCTTTTTTATACTGATGAATGTAATACAACGGTTCCGCGCGTTACTTTTACTTTCATTTTCAGTTGAACACGTATTTTTCTCAATCTGTTAATCTGTGAACTACGCGTATCAATTTGCTATTTGAAAACCACGTAAGAAGTCTTTGAGAAATAAGCAACTGATAGTCAATAAGAAAATTAGAGAAAAAAAGACAGGAGCATTTACCTTATAATGCAAAGGTCACCGGGTGATATAACTTAATGTAATGGAAAATAATACAGATAAAGATAAAATGCTGATTACCCAATACATGTTCACGGCCAGATAGCTAAGTTGCGCTTAACACGTGGAAAAATGTAACCAGATGAAACAGAAATGTACAAAACCGGTTCGGTTAACTCAAAGAGCTCTTTCTGAAATCTGTAATTGAGTTATGCAACAACAATTGGCAACAAGCTGGCACGAGAACATGCATATAAACCTACATGTAGTTCTTGAAGACAGTCGAAGAAATCATGAATGCATCAGCTCTATACATGCAGTCCATTGGATACCGCCCAAAGATTGTTTGAAATTGGCAAGGCTTGGTTCATCATTTGTGTAATGTTCCCGAGACAATCACATACCAGTAGCAGGAAACGTGTTATGCATACATTTGCATATAAATGAAGTCTTTTTTTATCTCTATAGATAAGAGCTGTTTAAAAAGTTGTTTAAAACAAAATGTTTTCAATGGTGTATATATATGATTTCTTTGCCTTATCTCAAGCATTAAGCTATATATACCGGTACACACGCTAGGACTGATGGGCGTTGTCAGGAGAGCGAGAGAGAGAGAGAGAGAGTTCCGCGAAAAACAGGCTCGATTTATGCCACTTTTCGAAATAAATTCGACGGAATTTTGAGATCAAGCAACCAACCAGCTATCGCACTTCTGCCCGTCCATTCTTCAAAATTCATTTTACGTGTCTTCTAAGCGTCCTAAGCACAAGAGGTATCACGCCATCTACCGATTCAGAACTGCTGATCAATAGCCCAACAGGCTCATCCACTAATGACTGCTTTGTTCACAGGTCTATAGACCTAACAGTACATCATTCCTTACGTATGTGTAATCAGCGAATGACAAAGTATAAAGAATAAGGTACCCAGACGTAATCTAAATTAATGCTTTCTTATTCTGAGTGGCATTTCCACTGGGTGCCTGCCAGGCTAGACGACCAATCGTTTACAAGGTACCCTAGCCGGGCCATTACCACATTCTTTTTTATATGGAGTTATTCAATCTATCTTTGATATGCCCATCAAAATAATAACTGTGCGTACGTGTGTTCAGAGCTGGTCCAGCTCAAGGGGGAAATGATCCAATTGACGTCACAAAACAACGGATCACGCATTAAAGCCCATATGTGGCATGGGTTTTCTTTGTGTCTTAGAATTCGTTTTATGTTTGCTGCGCGACTGTAGATAATTTGTATATACAAATTATATAACAATTATATTGGGAATATATATGGTGTTTATTATTTCGACATTTTTAAACATAAAGACCCAAGGTGGACAATATTTCAATAATAACAAACATAGCTCTAACAGTAATTCAGCGATCCGCTGACGTCCAGGATAGAACGATTCGGTGGCGTCATTTAAGATTTTTACCTTTTGAGGAGACTCACCTTTTTGCGCGAATTTCGATTGTAAGATACTGTTCACCAGGGAAATGAACATTGAGAGGCATTGACCGCTTAAAATCCTTGGTGATAAATATTGCAAGCAACGGCACGTGGGTTTTCTGACCGAAGTTTCATCAGAGTAGTTTAATGCATGGGAATACTACCCAGGCAACAACTTATTTAGCTTACACAAAGTGCTACTTAACTCTAGCTATCGATTCGATTTAAAAACAAAACCCTGGCCTCATTTGATTGATAAAAAAATTGGTATTAACCATTGGTCAATTCAAATGCTCGAACCAGCAAAATGCCTCTAGAAACAACGCCATGCACTGAAAATACTAAAAGGATCAATTTAGCCCCTGGGAAAGCAGAAGGTAAATGTGCNTGCTAATTAGTCTTGACACTCACAGGACATGATCAAGATTTCCAAGAAATATCTGTGAATGCTGGGCCGTAATTTCTCTTCATTAATCACCAAAACCGAAAAAGTAATACGTCTAAGAAAAAATCGAAAGACCTACATGGGTAATTGAATTAAGGACTATCGTTGGTGTTGTTCCCCGTAAAGCAATATTTGCAAAGGCTGTTTAGGTTTGCTGTAGACGTAAAGGTTCAAGACCATGAATATGTCATTCACTCTCTCTCTCTCTCCCTATCACAGTTGTAGCAGAGCGTGGGGTTAAATCATCAGTTATTATATATTGCATTAAAATATACATCATGAACGAGAGGGAGGTGCCCTATAGTTACAGATAGAGAGGGGTGACGCGAACTTACCAAGTTTCTTTTCACATAACATTACGATCACTTGCCAAGAATCATCAACTTTACTTGAAAACATATTACCCTGATAATGGCACAACTGTTAGTTACTTGCTCTTGCAAGTAGCAGCGAAATAGAAAGAAACTGGATTTTCATTTGAACATCTTTTGTAATATTATCTTTGTTATTACCACACTATCACTTGATGCAGATACGTACCCAACGGAGCTCATCTATATGCTCGAAGTCAAACACGTGGATATTCATAGTAACCGTCGTCACTTCGCCTAAAAGTACAGAAGACATACAGCTGTCAGCAATGGCGGTATGTGCGTACTAGTACATAAGTATCCACGCAACTGTTTATGCAGTCTGGATATGCAGGGGGGGGAAATGGGTGTGGTGGTAGATTTTTGATGTACATATATAATCTGAATAAATTATTATTTTCAAAGATTTTAGGCGTACAATAACACTAGACAAACGTTTCATTCAAATTCAAAATAAACCAAACTAATCTTGTTGTCTGATACAAGAGGTTCGCCTTCTATAAACAGATTATGAATAATATAACCATGTTATGAAATACAATTTAATTCCATTTAATTCCATTGTGTATCAGGTATAGGGAATGCCAAATGTATAAAAATGCGGCTAAGCTTTGATGCGAGTCATTTCACTGTAACCGAAAGTAAAATGCATGTTGTCAAACGAAATGGAAAAATCTACAATCTACAAATTTGCACTAACATGTAATTTGTACTTGTATAGAAAGGGAAACTGATGGTTTTTATGGCTGATATTTGAGATCAACTCAGTCCAAGCATATGGTAATTGATTTAGTTTTTGATTAGGAGAAAAGATCCAACAAGGGAGACAAATAAACTAGCAAGAAACGGCAATTCCTGGTAACGAGTACATCCGCTGGGATTACCCAGAGTTTTGATGTGCTTTTTTAGGATACGTATCATAATTTGTTAACTGTAAGCAAATACTACAGTTCGTATGATTAAACACAATTTGTAAATAATCTGAATTCGATTCTAGCCCAATAAATGTGACTTTATCCCCTATCTAGCCAGTTGAATAACTTTTAAACTAGATGGACTTAGCTGACTTTGCAGTGCTCATTTAAGTCACTAAGCTCTAGATATGCCTTGGGTCTGTAACATTTTGATTAAAATCATGCGTGTGTTATTATTGCTATGATTAAGTTTTTTATCGTTAAAATTTATGCCTTGGTAAATGCGACGTTAAAATGATCTAATGATGTAATTGTCAGAAGTTGATTATTGCCTTGTTAGATAACTGAATGACAGTAAGAAAAGGGCACTGTACGCAAGCACACATTTAAAGGTATACTACTTGCGTTTTCAAAGACATATTTCTTAATTCTACACATCCTGTCAGGCTACCCATCTCTCCCCGTTCGGACCTCCAAAAAGATTAAAAAAAACCAAATTCAAGTGCCTGGTGTCAATATTATCTTCCCAAATGTAAATAAATACATGGTTGTCTAAAGTTGCTGATACGTTAGTCAGAGTTTTAACTCAATTAATTAGGAATGGTATAAATCATCCAATCCAAGTGATGGGACGTACGCTTCGTAAGAAACATAGCTTTTTATTTCGAGGATAATTTGATTCGGTTAGGAAATACTGGATAGGAAACCTTCAAATACGCGTAAAATCGTAACCCTTAGGGAGTCGTGCTTAGCAAAGCAAAATAATGTTTATATACACAGTACATTTTTGGTTTGTAAAGTGTTTTTATATGGTTCTTTTGCCAAGGCTAGGGTCGATATGCTGCATTCTAAGAAAAACTCAAAATATTGCTAAAGACCTGCAGTTTATACAGTCAAATATCACTATACGGGCTCTACACGTATCTCGGGTTTGATACAGTATTGGGTGACATAAACTACGTAATTTTTGATACCCCATAGAGTCTAGAACAAACAGCAGTGGAGTTTATCTACCCCATCGCATCTCCTCTAGTCAGAGATTGTTGAAGTTCAACCAATAATCTTGGAAATCTGTCCTTTATTGATCACAACACAAAAAAGCACCGAATGTGAATTCAAACTTGTTGCAATATTGGCTTTTGATTTGAACAAAATTGGCTTAAATTCCGCCATAACTGACAATCGACAATCAAACTGGTAAGTGGCTAATTGGACAAATGACAACCCCACTTAATTTCAGTGGTTTCTGATTGCCTGTTCCAATGCTGTTGGCTGCGGACAGGGCCTCCCTTGGCCTTTTCAATATTCTTAACTAACTGTTAACCTTTTCCTTTCTCTCAGACAGCGTCTAGACAATTACCAGCGGTGATAGACCAAAGAATAACTCGCTCGTGTTTAAGGCCTCCAACGCTGACACCTCCACCTCCCCCCACCACCACCATAAATCATCTGCCTTTTTTTCCTCCAGCGCAGAAAATCGTGTCATATATTAGACAAAGACATAGACATATCAGTAAATATCTAGTGAAACATCCATCCTTGACCCTGGGTACCCCCCCCCCCCCCCCACCGACCCTGCACTCTATGGCTTTGCCCATTGATCTGGTATCAACCTGCCGTGTCCACTAAAAGAATACGGCTATCAGTGATACAATTCCATTAGACGGATAAAAGCATGAGTAAAAAGGGTCAAATGTCAATTCTGAAATGGAATACAACATATCCATGGGCTTAAGGGCATTTGAATACCTGTCCCTGGAGACAAAAACAAGCATTTACATATTTGGTAAAACGGGACTAGGGACCGTTTAAAAACAGCTTTTTTATAGTTCCAAAGTTTTCATTAACATTAAGACCAAATGCTGGTCTATAACAGTTCAAATGAAACACTTGCCATGTCATATTTTATAATTACAAACACTGTCTAACCTGTTTTAGATCCAGGTCGTATCCTCATATCGTACTTCCTTTCATCTTTGATCCTCAGAAAGTCGACCAGAGTGAAGGCGACACTGTCATTGTAGTATTTGTCTTCTGGCGGAGGCGCGTCTTTTTTCGTGTCCTTTACACTCGTTGTGCTGCAATGAGAAAAACTTAAATTAATTTTCTTTGGCTGAAACTTTTCTTTACGAGGGTGATGAGTATCATTAAATTTCGAAAAACAAGTAACAAGAGTTTACAAAAGTATACTTCAAATAAATATGTGCAGAAATACAGACCTAATCAAATAACTAAGTTCAATAAAACAAATGCGTTTAATATTTATATCATTTACAGAAAAAAGAGTGCTTAAGATGTTTTGAAAATTAATCTAAATCATATTAAAAAATGAAAACAACATCAACTTTTACTAAATTGCCAGTGTATAAAAACATTTTGAGACTATCAAAAATGAAACAGAGTATTACCTTGTTGTTGTTTTTTTTTTTATTAAGTTGTCACCTGTAGAAACATCATAAAGTCACCCTGGCAACGTTCATACATACATACATTATGTAAAGATTGCTTTCATTGTGTCAACAAGTAAAAGATGATAATCAGTTTTTGCTGGGTAAAACATGCAATGTACCCAATAAAGATTTCTTATGAAAAAGGATAACTCGTAGAAAATGTGCTCAGTTGTAAACTACAGTGCCACTAGTGAGTAGAAGTAACGTAGATAAAAAACATGGACGATTTGCTATATGAAATGGTGGGAAGCAATGAGAGTGACAACATGTACATGTATGTGTTCAGTAGATATAAGTCGGAGCTGTGTATATGACCGTGCTTTTTACTATACAGATGTATGGAAGCGACTCAAGCAAAAGTGTGGTTTATTCAAAACCACGTATTCAAACTACACGCGGTGGGTGTGGATAACGGTATAAATCTCGCGAAGGAGTTCCAAATGTCAATAAAAGGGATGAAATGTTTGAAAAGTCAGTAAGGAGAATGACACACACCAAATCTAATCAGTTGGTAGAATTTGACAACATGAATGAAAGGCTATGGAAAGCTAAGCTTGGAGTGTCGTCGTGCCAGAATATTTGACCATTTGACTTACGTTTTTGAGAGTAATGCTCTCAGGGTACTCACTGCTACGGGGTATAGGCGGCAATGTAAGTGTTTTCTGGCACTATAAAAAAGGCATAACTGTTATCCTAATCGATTTCACCAATGTTCTCTATTAATGACGCACAAGTTGGGTTCTAAATTAAAAACGATATACAGTTTGCAGTATCCCTTGTGGCCACTCTATTGTCACCAATCCAAAAAGCCTTTTTTTGCAACTGTACCTCTTTTACATTGAAGGTAGATGAAGGCAAGCGCTTCTGCATCAAAATAAAGGTTTGAGATTGATTGCCATTATATAACTTGCATGTGTCATGCAAGTTTACAATTAAATGCGTTAGCTGTAATAAAAACTTCGAATTAGATTTCTGGCTTTTTGACACAACCACACGCACAAACTGCAAAAAGATTTATATCACCTAACTGCCGTCTAGTCTTCAAAGCACAGTGTTTGTTATCTTACAGTGGCGTTAAACATAAAGATCAATTGACGTTAGAAATACTAACATTGTCAACTATCTTTTCATGGAGTTTAAAAAATTCAGAGTAAGTCCACAATGTTTTCATGGAAAGGACCTCGGTTCCATACTCCTTTTTTCATCTTTCCCCACTAGCAGGGTCCACCACTAAACAAACGATATATTTATCCTCAATTTATGATAAAAACTGTTGAATAACCTCATGCAATATAGCTAGAGCCATGCGACATTTAATGGGGAGCCATGGCTACAACACCTGGAACTTCAAAAGTATTTATGAGTTTCGAAATTTCTTTTTTATACTGATGAATGTAATACAACGGTTCCGCGCGTTACTTTTACTTTCACTTTCACTTTCAGTTGAACAAGTATATTTCACAATCTGTGAACTACACGTATCAATTCGCTATTTGAAAACCACGTAAGAAGTCTTTGAGAAATAAGCAACTGATAGGCAATAAGAAAATTAGAGAAAAAAAGACAGGAGCATTTACCTTATAATACAAAGGTCACCGGGTGATATAACTTAACGTAATGGAAAACAATACAGATAAAGATAAAATGCTGATTACCCAATACATGTTCACGGCCAGATAGCTAAGTTGCACTTTACACATACAGGTTTTTCTTCGCAGAACACCATATGGGCCAATGTGGAAAAATGTAACCAGATGAAACAGAAATGTACAATACCGGTACGGTTAACCCAAAGAGCTCTTTCTGAAATCTGTAACTGAGTTATGCAACAACAACTGGCAATAAGCTGGCACGAGAATATCCATATAAAATCACATGTAGTTCTTGAAGACAGTCGAAGAAATCATGAATGCATCAGCTCAATATGTGGTCAATTGGATACCACCCAAAGATTGTTTGAAATTGGCAAGGCTTGGTTCATCATTTGTGTAATGTTCCCGAGACAATCACATACCAGTAGCAGGAAACGTGTTATGCATACTTTTGCATATAAATGAAGTCTTTTTTTATCTCTATAGGTAAGAGCTGTTTAAAAAGTTGTTTAAAACAAAATGTTTTCAATGGTGTATATATATATATGATTTCTTTGCCTTATCTCAAGTATTAAGCTATATATACCGGTACACACGCTAGGACTGATGGCGTTGTCAGGAGAGCGAGAGAGAGAGAGAGAGAGTTCCGCGAAAAACAGGCTCGATTTATGCCACTTTTCGAAATAAATTCGACGGAATTTTGAGATCCAGCAACCAACCAGATATCGCACTTCTGCCCATCCATTCTTCAAAATTCATTTTACGTGTCTTCTAAGCGTCCTAAGCACAAGAGGTATCACGCCATCTACCGATTCAGAACTGCTGATCAATAGCCCAACAGGCTCTTCCACTAATGACTGCTTTGTTCACAGGTCTATAGACCTAACAGTACATCATTCCTTACGTATGTGTAATCAGCGAATGACAAAGTATAAAGAATAAGGTACCCAGACGTAATCTAAATTAATGCTTTCTTATTCTGAGTGGCATTTCCACTGGGTGCCTGCCAGGCTAGACGACCAATCGTTTACAAGGTACCCTAGCCGGGCCATTACCACATTCTTTTTTATATGGAGTTATTCAATCTATCTTTGATATGCCCATCAAAATAATAACTGTGCGTACGTGTGTTCAGAGCTGGTCCAGCTCAAGGGGGAAATGATCCAATTGACGTCACAAAACAACGGATCACGCATTAAAGCCCATATGTGGCATGGGTTTTCTTTGTGTCTTAGAATTCGTTTTATGTTTGCTGCGCGACTGTAGATAATTTGTATATACAAATTATATAACAATTATATTGGGAATATATATGGTGTTTATTATTTCGACATTTTTAAAACATAATGACCCAAGGTGGACAATATTTCAATAATAACAAACATAGCTCTAACAGTAATTCAGCGATCCGCTGACGTCCAGGATAGAATAATTCGGTGGCGTCATTTAAGATTTTTACCGTTTGAGGAGACTCACTTTTTTGCGCGAATTTCGATTGTAAGATACTCTTCACCAGGGAAATGAACATTGAGAGGCATTGACCGCTTAAAATCCTTGGTGATAAATATTGCAAGCAACGGCACGTGGGTTTTCTGACCGAAGAATCATTCATTTTACTACCCAGGCAACAACTTATTTAGCTTACACAAAGTGCTACTTAACTCTAGCTATCGATTCGATTTAAAAACAAAACCCTGGCCTCATTTGATTGATAAAAAAATGGTATTAACCATTGGTCAATTCAAATGCTCGAACCAGCAAAATGCCTCTAGAAACAACGCCATGCACTGAAAATACTAACAGGATCAATTTAGCCCCTGGGAAAGCAGAAGGTAAATGTGTAGCAGTAATAAGTTGGCAGAAAGAAACTGTGTTACCTTCAAGATTACTCAAAGATGGGAAAGAAAACCTTCCTATTTTATTGAATTAACCTGCCCGGAACAAGTCCTCAGCGTATATCTGATAAGCACTTTGTGCAAACTGAATTGAAGGGCCTGTTCAGAACTAACGGATCCACGGATCAAATATGGCCGACCCACTTGAAAGCTTGCCGTATAATCCCCGCAAGAATCCATAATGGGATTGCGCGGAAAGCTTTCAAATGGGTCAGCCATATTTGATCCGAGGATCGACTTGTTTCCGAACAGGCCCTAACAGCTTGCAGTAAAAGGGAGGATTAACCCCTAGTGCAAGTGTATTCAGAAATGAACCCCGTTGTCAATACCGTAATGGAAATTTCCGGAAAACTGCATGTTGCTGATAAAATATTGCATGGAAACATCCCTTGGAAAAATTAAACGTCTGATGATGAAAACTGATATTACAAACCACGTACGTGACAGTCAAACCAATAACTTTTCATCAACGGCGTCGTATAAAAGTACAAATGAAGCTAAACAGCCTTAAATAATGTTAAGTAGTCAAATGGATCTCTATTGTATGCACCAAAAAAGTAATGTATTTACATATTCTTTGGAGATCGATTTGTTTTAGATGCTCATTAGCTTTCTAAGTCAGTATTAAAAGAAAATTCTACACGGAATCCAATTTCATAATTTTGTCTGCCGACAAGGCATCATTTCCTAATTCTTTTTCCAAGTATTCAACGACCTCAATAACCGCAAATCATGCCCTCTATAGAGTTTACCCCATCCTTAGCAATCTCATTTCAACGGAAGCTCAGTCAGAATCCCAATGAATAAATCAGTTCCATGTAGTCTCCGCCAGTAATATGGAAAATGTCCACAGGGAGGCAGGTTTACACACCACACGAGTACCGAGCTGTTCTTTTATTCATGACGATTGTTTCGGGGTGTTAACCGCTGGCTGTCTTAAGGGCCAGGGTAATTAAAGTAAACACACATATCTGTATGGGCCGTATATCATAGTTCATCATTTGTGCATTCGCGCATTCTGAAGTACAGAGCAACCAGTTCGAGCGTGATTAATTAGATAAGATGTTGTAAGTTTACGTCAACAACAGAATGTAGAGGTACAAGTGATGCATTATTAAAGACCCCATCGCGTCACTTTTGTGGCAAAGGTGATCATGTATTATCAGCTGAAAGGCATGTCACGAGATAACAAACTGAAGTGCTACTCTCCAAGTATGAGGGTGCATTTTGTGAGTGACATTTGTATTACGTTTGCAATAAGCAGGTGGCATAGGATTTGTCAAGAACCAAATGGAATAGACTTCTGGAATGTTTTTTGCTTGTTTTTTTATGGCGATATTTTTTTGTAATAAATCCGTACAATACGCCCAGAAATAAGTCCCTGTGTCTAATTATAATATCAGCACGCTTATCAGCAAGAAATAAAAAGAGTAGTCTGCTTCTTAATGGAATGTGCTGCATCTAAGACCCCTAGAATTTGACCCCTTTCGGACCCCAAGATTTGACCCCTTACGTCCTCAGTAAATTGAATTTGCATAAACAGGAACAACAGAAGAGCATTAATTGGCATGGGGTAGAGATTCGGAAGTTAGCACTACCCTTTCTCTTATTAACACTTGTCAAAACCAAGGGCACTCTTGGGTTACCCCTTGGGCGTTTAGAGATGTGGAAATAGGATATGAAATATAAAAAGAATTCCCAATATGTCCTGTTATAACAGGAAAATATCCTATTTTGCTTTTTATATTTCGTGCAAGAATGAAAAAACTTCCTCCTTGCAATCGACTTAGGTATCGACCAATGGGTAATTTCCATGCCGCCCTTGGCAATTACAAATTTTTACCAACCATATCATAATTCACTCTGAATTAGAATGGGTGTCCTCACACACATGCGAACCCTTCTTAACTGTACATGTAGCACCTGTGTCATTTAAGGTTTTCAGGGGAAAAAAACTTGCAGCGACCACAGTAAATAAAACTGCGGCTACTCCTTTTGATACATACTTTTTGAACGATTAAAGCATATTAATGTACATGTGTGCTTCTTGTTAATTGACTAGGAAACGATGCACACTTGTAGAATACTATGAGAGAGAGAGAGAGAGAGAGAGAGAGAGAGGTTACACTACACGAAAATGCTGGTTAGTAGTCTTCATTCACCCGTATTCCGTTGTTCATCTATACTTGCCATCCTATTTATTTATTTATTTCTAAGCTATTGTTATGTAATCGACTAAAGTCCGGGATCTGCATATATGTTTGGGAGCATGTCACACCGTCCAGATGGTTTTTATTTCTACATTTTAGAAATCTTCCATTTGAATAACGGATAAAGATATCATTTGAAATATGTGCCGAAAAATTGTGCCTGGGTTTGCAAATATGGAGAAACCTTCATTTTCAGAGCTGCAAGTATATTTTACAAAAACAATTTAGATGCTGCACTGGTTCATATCACAGTAGCTCTTACAAGCTACTTAAACAAAAAACGCCGCATTTTTCATTTATATCCAGTCAAAATCTCTTCCTATCAAATTCCCTTCACACGATGGCCCCTTCAGCACAATGGTTTCCCTCGGCCACTCCCACCAGTACCCGAAACAAACCATATCAAAAGAACCATCCTTCATCGGTCTTGTACCATACACCTTATCAATCGAATATTACTTGCGCCTTAAGAAATAAGCCAAACCAGACCATCGAATCCATCACGCCATCATCAGATTTATCTTTATATAGCGATTCTACTTATATAGCCTTACCTTCGTTGATGATGCCGTCGAGCCGTAGAAAGAGCGACCTGTTCCATTAACCACAGTGTGCATAGGACCGTCGCTATACTCCTCACAAATTCGGCCGTATTCATGGCGACGAGTTGCCCTGAAATAAGAAGACGTAAAGAGCAATTATCAAGTGCAGACGAGAGAACGCCCATAATTCATGGATAGAAGATGCTGAATCGGATATTTAATAAAAGATTCATCGGCTTGTTTATGTATACGGGACTTAGAAATTCACTGCCGTGATTTAAGGGGGCGCAATAGGTCTATTGGAAGGGCTCTCGATAAGAAATAGATGGGGAAACTGAAGAGGGCATGTGCACCACCACCACCCCGGATATTCCTTGAGTCGTATCACGCACAATTTCGCTCACTGATCCAGATAATTAACGAGTTGACCGCGCAGCTAATTTCCGAGAGAGGGTCGCTTGAGTAAATTTTTGGGTGTTCCAGTGCCAGTGCATTATGCTTACATATACTGTTTCCATTCACACAAATACAAAATGACTATAACAGTGCAAACATTTATGGTGACAAAATCCGGCAAATTTATAATACGCGTTATTATGTCAAACAACGTACCTAGAAATATCAATAAGGACATTTACCTAGACACATATATGAATTCATATAGACTAAATGTGTCTGTACAGTAACTATTTAATAAAAGCTATACGCATTTCACAGGCTTGTTGTTGTCTCGGAAAAAATGACTTTTACTCAAGATCCGTAGTGTAAGGGGCGCGTGTAGGTGTCGTTTTTTCAGCAGTTAGGTTTTGGAAGCGGAGTGCTGCGCCTCCTCCGCGTATTCAGTTAGTCCGGGTCACTGCTCGAGATCCTCTCGTGGGGAATCACTCGTCACACTCGTATATCATAAACTAAGTGACCATTAGAGATCATTTTATCGATCTCGCGAGACATTTAGCGATTACAACTTTAAACAATAGTTAAGGGGTGCAGATGATCATTGATCGACAGGTTCCACACGTATCTTGTAAAAATGGCAGAATATATTGTTTAAAAAAATAACGGTGATCAAACAATATATCCCCTGCAACAGAATACAGATATATATGCTTCTAGGCAGCTTCTGTGCTTAGGTTTCGTACGATATTTCTATCCTCCAAAAAATTACTAAACTTGCAATTGGCCATTGTGACAAAACTATAAACCATTTTACAACGTTCATTGTGCCAACGCTATGGAACATGGGTAAGTCAAGCAGCGCAAAACCGACTGCGGCAAAGTTATGCAAAATGCTATATTAACATACAAAAATAAATAAATAAATAAATAAATAAATAAATAAATAAATAAATAAAAAACAACTTAACGCATTCGAAAACAAACGCTGCTTTTAAACCCAGAACTGACAATGCTCATGGTTGAGAAACGTCCGCGAAAAGGAAGGAAGGGATCTTTTGCGACAGCGCGGTCGCATTAAGTCACATTAATGATTTCCGTAGGGAACTGAAAGGAAACTTCTCGCTTATCTATGCACATTCTTAACCACGTATACAGCATGTATCATCTTGCTTTTGAAAACTTTGTGGAACGCTCGACTGAATTTATCTAAGAGCGGTTTTCGTTATTCATCTGCTTATCTGAACAGGTATCGAACAAAACATCGTTGTTATACCTACCTACAAACTAAACATCGGTGGAGATCTCACTCATTAACTTTGTAGATGTGTGTATTACAGTCGATTAAGTGGAGGCTTAAGTGGTATCTTGACCCTCAGCCGTGCATTAACAACTTGCGTAGAGCTGGTCAAGTGTACACGCGCCTAGCATTCGTGTTCGAGTGGGTTTTGGACACCGTCCAGCTGCTTTTCAAAGTTGCGTCACCAAGCCAAGAATCAAGTAGGTCTTCAAAGTGGACCATACATCAAAAACAGCTCATATCCTTCATAACGATATGCCACCGGACGCGTCTCGCATGGTTGGCGCCAATATGGGTTTTTGAAGCAGCACAAAGTGCTCTTCAGTCGATATATGCCACCCCCAGTAAAAGCTCATGACGTACCGTATGGCGTAGTGCACGTGAGAACCTACCAACGGACTGTTTTGGGTCGATGCGATGGAAAGAAAGGTGGGGCTAGACAACGGTGTGAGCTTTCAGGAATATTGTTTCAAAGTGAAAGGCTAATGAACGAAAAATAATGTTCTCGTCCATGCATGCTTCGGGTGTCAATTTATTGGATCTGTTTGTTCAGCTTACCTGATAAACCTGTCACGGTACACACCACCTATAGTTATGGAATATTTATTGATTGATTGATTTACTTATTTATTTATAATTATAGTATTTTATCGGTCCCATATTTCATCAATTATAAGGAATTATTCTTTCAGTACCGACAGTAAACTTGGCCGTGAGTGAAGAAGCATTTGCCGTGAGCTTGTGCCCGGGTTAACGCCTTCTAAGTGTGCGAATACATAAGACGTGTGTAGAAGACACCAACATTTGCCAAAATCAATTCAAACAGATCTTCTCATGTACTGTTATTCCCACGGTGCCGCTTGCTAAGTGTACAATCCGGCTCGCTAAGTCCGTCTTCTTAGACATCGGAGTAGTTAACCGGAAATAATAATGACCAATATCTACGTCAGTTCAATATTTAATGCTTGGGCGCTAAGCGCGCTGGCTTATTCAACGAGTCAGTGAGCGGTCAGTGAAGAAATTCAATGAAATGTAATATATCCTGATTTAATTATAATGTCAGTCTGACTTCAAGGTACATATCATATCGATGGGATCGAACTAGCTGATATTTCGTGACTGCGAACATCGGATCGGACAGATGAAAAACCAGCACACCGCATGTTTCTAACACAGTAACCTACAGGCGATAGAATAAAAACTCGCATGTTGTGACCTTTATTTTGATCAACAATTCCTATACATTCAGAAATGCAGAAACGCACTTACACTGCCCCCCCCCCCCAAAAAAAACGTGATTCTATAATTATATATGGTTTTGCTTTCGAGTGACGATTTGCCGATCGGAGTTAATGAGTACTTTCTGGCTGCTCGGTCTCTCTGGTCTATCTCTTGTTCCAATCGTGTGGTTACGCATAATGCACGATGTGACTCAACTTCCAGATCCCTAGCACACTAAATAATTTAAAAAAATTCTTGTTCTCAAGTCTAACGCACGAAAAATGTGCAACCCTGCGATGCCCGCCACAATGTTTATATTTGTACACTGACACTGGTCTTGAAAAGTCCACTACACCAATTTCTCTTCTTTATTACGCCTAGGGGTGTCCTCTCATGGTCACCCATGCTTATATAACAACATTGTATTATCAACTCTTTCAATTTTATGAGCCAATGGGGCTATACTTAAGAAGGACACAGGGGCATTTAAAATATTTTACAAAAGGGTGTTTCATGCACTTTTGAATAAAAAGAAAGATCAAGTAGACGCTGGTTAAAAATAAATGACAGACAACAAATCGTGTAGTGAAAAAGCTGATAACACTGTGCATAGTCAAGGTGTCACAAGTCTTGCTTTCATGGCCTTGAAGACACTGGGGTCCACGTTAATAATAAAATATAACTGTGAAATAACAACTTGAGCATGAGGCTCTCTTTGTACTTCATAGATGGAGGTGTAAAGATGCGACCCGGAATTCTTTTTTCTCTTCTCTGTTGACTGTTTGTGTTTTTACATTAGGTTTAAAATAAACGAATGCAATACTATTTGTTTCGTATTCATATTTATGATTAAGAGTTATTCATATATACACGTTTAAAGCAATGACTGGGGATTAGAAACGCTACCAAGAATGTAAGGGGGATATATGAAAAAACACTATCTATGTAAAACCTGATACTACTGCTACGGAGTAAACAAAAATCTTTTTTAACCAGAGGATTTTACTTTTGAAGGAGCATGGGTGTCTTTACAAAATGCGTACCAGGCAGCTTTTAACATAAAAAAGATCAAATAAGCACGCCAAAATAAGACTCAGCAATAGCGTGTTAGGAGAGGGCTGATTTCACTGTAACGGTTCGTAAGCGAGGAAATTTGTTTGGCAATATATCTTTGCTCCCCTATAGTCTATAAAGTAGAAATTAAGTAGAAGGGAACGAGCTGGTAACATTCGCAATGTTTTTGCAGCAGATTTGAAGCAGGTTAGAGATGCCGTGAATATGAGCAGAAGAAAAGAAACGAACCTACAGGCTGCTGTTTTCCTACTTCGCTACGACGCATATATATAAAGTAGAAGGCTGCTCCTTTAACGCACGCAACTTCGAAACTGCTGCACTTAAAGTAGAAATGTGGTTATGCGGTGAAGCGTTATGCTTCAATTTCTACTGATATTTTGTGAAGCATGATTACAGTAGAATGCCACTTCTGGGGAGTATACACCTCATTCATACCTTAAATCGGGGCAGACTTGAGGTATGGTTTCAGTGTGATTGCAGTAGTTCTACTACGCCGAAGTATCTACTGCGTTTTCGTGCGAGTAATAATAAAAGAACTAAATAAAACAACAACAGTTAAAGAAAATATATTTCTGATAACAAGAGCCAATAATCATACATTTTATAGTTAAATAAAGAAACAAAAAAACAATAACCATTTTTTTAAAATAAGAAGAGAGGCCTTGTGAAAGGAAAGATGGGTGTGTCCAAGAACCCTCCTATAGGACCATGTTAATACCAACAGAGCCATTTCTACAACTTGGACAGGAACACACCAAACCCGTTAGTGGACGAATTTCCAATAAACCCCACCACAGAACCAGCAAAATATTCTATACATTTTTGTATGCTAAATCAAACGTCTGCCTTAAAATGTTGTATATTTTTAACCCAGGGCTACTGTTCCACACTCAAGCAAGCTCCCGATGAATTAACTGTAGAGGCTGGTGCGGTGTCGGTGACACCACCGGGTAGTAGTAGTAGATTAAGATGATGATGACGATAGTAGCTCCTACTAAGAGTGACAATGATGCATCGCAGGTGTCATTTGCCTCGACGCTTTCTTTTCTAAGTAACGAGTTATTTAATTAAAGTTACCGCGATGTTTTGTTTATCGCCATTACATTACGATACGATCCCCATTACGTTTATTAACAATACGCACATCAAAGATGGATTCGAGATTTTAATTAAGGAGGATGGATTGCTGATTAAAAAAATTGGGCAACAGTGAAAGGCGTGATGTATTGTATAACGTACTCCTTAAGTGGTAACATAATCAGAGAGACAGAGAGAGAGAGAAAGCTCACTGGGTAATATTTCTCTACCCGCAAATCTTGGTATGCAAATTAAATTTAAAAAAGTGCAAAGCATACCATTACCTCCCAAATATCCGATAGTCCAAATCCATTTTTCAATATCACTTCCTACTTCCCACTAATTATGTACAAAATCAACACATCTAATAAGTGTTCTGCAGACAGGCAAGATTCATGGATCCTTTTATTAACGCCGACGTCTTGTTTTATATGAGCTGATAGTTAGGAGGTTTTTGCAAGGTTTGCATATAACAGAGACGCCTCACTTACTTTTTTGTTAGGTCGATAAGCTGCGGTTTTTCCCAACTGAAAGGAACAGAAATAAACCTGATAGTGTGCTTTCTTTTTCAAAAACGTCATTGCTGTCCAAGAAAAGTTCTTAGTTTGAAAATGGTGAGTAAAGACTGTAATGCGTCGGTAGCCCTTTCTTACACGCCGTCCTGCGCTTTTTCACGTTTTCCAAAATTTTGGATTCAGTCCGTGTTCGGTACCAAAAGGGAAAATAAGCTTATGGCTGACATGAGACCCTAAGATACACCTTTAAAATTCTTCCAACTGTACCACTTTTTAAAAATGTGTGTCTTCGTAACGGAGTAAATTACTTCATTCTTTGAATTCGAGGATCTCCCGATTCTATAGGATTGCCCCTATATATAAATTGAATGGACCGTCGGATGAACTCTTTGGTAATCCTCCAGTTTTATCTGAATTGAAAATGCGTAACGACGAAAAACGTCTGAATTAAAAAGATTGTAAGAGCAAGGCATACTTCTGCATCATCTGTATGGTATATAGAATGTTGCAGATACCAGGGCCATTTTCATATGAAGCTTTGCTTCGAACTCATTCCCTAAGCTACGGTAGCCATTAGTTACGTCAACATGTCTTTGTCGTATTTGTCGTCAAACTTAACTTGAGGACAGAAAGCCAAGGCGGTTCTTGGGAATTTGTGCCCTCATGAGTATTTCTTCTGTCCTTTCAGATAGTTTTCAATAGGTTTAAAAGCCCGTTACATGCTTTTCCAATTACGATATTACTAGCTTAGCTTAACAAAGGCATTTTAGTGGAGTGAAATCGAATGTGAGGAATACATCCAGCCGTTCACTTAACCTTATCCAATAGTTTACATGTTTTCCACATGAATTGTGGAATTTGGTTTAGAAGTACTCCATAGCTTTAGGCCGGTGGTTGAAAAGCAGAGAAAATCCGTTAAAGATACCGAAAAATAAAGTAATGTAATTTGCTTTCTGAATGAAAGACAATTAAAATAAGGTATAGCTTGCGGTACGTGGATTAACACACACACACACACACACACACACACACACACTCACACACACACACACACGCTCTCTTCAGTTGAGTCTGATGTCAAATCATAATTAATAATTGTAGCATTACTCTCTACGCCCTCGTGTAGGGTTTAATCAATCATTAAGACATGAAATGTTGGATAAATGTTCGGTTATCTTAGCCACGAGGCACCATAGCAGCAACAGAGCAATGTCTCCACGGGCCCGAGTGAATGATGTTCAGGACAAAACTGTCGATAGTTGTACTTCTAATTGAGTTGAAATTGTTGTTTTCGAGGAATTTAGGATCATTCGAGTATTAAGATACACGATGAACGACAGATAGTAAAAAGACGTAAAATGGCCAGTGCGAAAAGAAAAAAAGGTTTTGGAATAATTACACATTTTGGAATTTTTACAAATATTGTCGTATGCAGCTGAAGCGATAAATTAATAAATCAAAGAATTAAAGTTTGAATATGAAAGAACTAAAAATTAACAAAAATTCCCATGCGTCTTTATATATGACATTTAAATATATTCTCTGTTTAACTTACCTCAGATAATGCAACAATCTCCTAAAAGTTCCGAATATTTCTTTTGAATCTGATCGTTCCGGAGTGTTCAACCGTCCAGAGAAAGCACTATATCCATGACGTTCACCTTCCAGAGGGCTATTTATGCTCTGCCTTGAAATCTCCTGAAAAATAAACAGTTAGGTTATATACATGTAGAAGATACATTTATTAATTTATGAAAAATATGCATTTTGGAAAATAAAGTTTATCTTGACATATGTTACATTCCAACCAGTGAAAAACAAAACTTCCTAGATGTTACTTAAATGAAAATATACCTCAAACTCAACACTCCTTTGCAATAAATGATATTATATTCAAGAGATCAAATGCTCATTTGCAAAACACAGTTTTTATGCAGCAAAAAGAAGCTGCGCTTGGTTATATTCATGTGACATCAGCCCAGCTCGTCCAGAAATAACTGAATTCTCCTGCACTATTGTGACTATTTAATTACTGGTAATGCTAGAATGCAAAGACCCTTCAGTCCGCAACTGTGATAACTTTTCTTGGTGATCCACTGCATTAAGTAGCTCTTCATAAAGAACTCCTTAAAGTAGGCACTCCGCTGTGGTTATATATCTTCACGGCGAGCAGTTTCTCAACAGCACATGCGCGATTAATGCACCAAGAATATGATTTGTTTGAGTCCCGCTTCTTCAAGGATGGTGAATTCAATTTAAGCACCGTGTAAAAACGTCCCCGATCGATGGATCCCTTCGAGCCACGCGCAGCTTTTTAATGGCGACGGTAGCTGGTTAAGTGTAAGGTCGGTGATCGCGTAGTGTAGAACTATGATAAGAGAGCAATTGTGTTACGTGGTCTTACCTCAGACACGCAACAGACGTGAGTATATGATTTTTCTTCACGGCAAGGTCAGCTTCATTTCCACAGATACCAGAGTCATTACTGCAACTTTTTAAAGACCGATATTTTAGTAATATCACATAATTCAGAAAACTTCTAACAAATTACTGGTACACGCTAACCGCAGAATTTGATATACCAGCAACACAAATGAAATAGTATTTCATTCCCCGAGTTTGAATGCTGCTTACCTTATACCGGACGCAGAGGCAAAAAAATCGACTAAAATCTCTATGCGCGACAGAACAAATCTGTTGCTCCCTGTCAAAGCTACCGCAGTCAGCAAATGTCTACGTAATCATTAATTGGTATCCTATTATGGCTGTGCCCTAGCTGCGTTGGGTATTAGTAAGCCATGCGTGCATGTTAAGCCTATGCCCGGTCATCAGCGTCAATATTTACTGCAGAAACAAATCGATCGCATAATTAACCGCGACACGAATTAGCAAATATGAGCAGAGCGTCTTCTCTTGATAGAGCCATTACAATCAAATAACATCCGCATGGGTTGAGTAATAGTCAGTCGATGGGGATTAGGCTTAAAAGAACATTGCACAGCAGGTAGTACACAAGACTGCTTCTAGAAGAATACTGGAGAAATGGTCAATTAAGACTTTTCTTAAAGAATCAATGGTCTGCCAATATATATATATATATATATATATGAGAAAGAGAGAGAAGGGGAATGAGAAACTCAAATACACAAAAGCATTTTACATCCTTCTGGAGATCGCTCGAGGATACATTCGTTTGGCATTGGTTTTGTTTGGTTTTGTTGGAAAAATTGAAATAATTCTTCTCAAAATAAATTAGATGATGCGATGTTATGACGGAACTAGAACATTATCCACGTCACGCTGTATGTATCAGACTGTCTTTAAAAGCTTGGTCTCTGAGTTACACTTCGTAATACGTTTAGTCATATCTGATCAATTTATCAAAGATTGATGAACGGAGTTCATAAATTGGTCAAATATCGTCATAACATATCAATGGACAGTCATCAAGTGCGACCAATAAAAGTAAATCCGATTACATGTTTATTCTTAGAACCGTGCCTTCTGTTAGATTTAAATACAAGACAATACAACTTTACCGGCGGTATTTTGCATGTCTAAGTGGTCGCCTGCTGCAAAACAGTTTTGAACCATTGTATTCGTATCCGATCACTATCTAGAGGTAAACATAACATTAGCGGTTCTTGGGCACAAATGACCTGTAACTTGTAATAGCACTTTACATACAATTTAAAACCCAAGTGGCATCCCCACCTGGTTACTTTTTGCCCCTCCCCTCCCTCAACTCCTCTGTTAAGTAAAATGCTCAATCTCCAATCATAATCTTATTGTGTCTAGAGAGTGATTGCATGGAAGAATGTCCATGGTACCAATTATGATAAAATCCTTTGGGTCGTTTGGTTTGTACAAACGCAACATACATGTATCCACACTAATAGCGCTGAGAGGGCGTGCATTGTACACGATGCACACACGAGAGTTGGCTGTAAGATTTTTTATCGCTGTTAAATTTTATGGGTTGGCTATTAGATTATTTTGACCACTGTTAGATTTTTTGTAGGCTGTTAGAATGTCATTTGGCTATTAAATTGCAAGTCTGATTTTTTGCGTGGATGGCGTTCCATAGAGAGACGCTGCGTCTAATCGAGGTTGTTTGTTGAACTCTTTGCTGTTAGAGGTTACCTTACGTCATTACGACATCAAACCAATGACTGTCATTCAAAAGGCACGTGGTTTTGAATGGTGCCAAGGGGTGACAACATGGTAATGAGAATTGTTTTTATCGAATGATACCAATCGTAAGCATTCGCGGTCCTCTGAGATAAGATGTGATAATAGAGGTCGCCCAATGTTGGCCAGTGGGCCAGGAATGGTGGACCTAGGATTGGAAGTCCGTTTACCCATTTGCCAGGAATGGTGGACCTAGGATTGGAAGTCCGGTTACCCATTTGCCAGGAATGATGGACCTAGGATTGGAAAACCAGTTACCCATTATCCAGGAATGGTGGACCTAGGATTGGAAGTCCAGTTACCCATTTTCCAGGAATGGTGAACCTAAGATTGGAAGTCCAGTTACCCATTTGCCAGGAATGGTGGACCTAGGATTGGAAGTCCGGTTATCCATTTGCCAGGAATGGTGGACCCAGAATTGGAAGTCCAGTTACCCATTTGATTACTACAGGTTTGGATAAATCGGGGTTTGTTTATGGGACGGATGTCACCTGTACAAAGTAATGGGGAACAGACTACGGTCCCTGGAGGACCACCATTCCTGTCACACCCAGAGTTGTGATGATATAGTGTGCCTATAATGTGTCCCTGATGTGCTTCCCTGTCAGACAAATAGAACACGTGTGTGTTGGAAGGAGCTGGCGCTTTCCAATGCCAAGCACTGAATATCAAGAGAGTTCTCTGGCGTTTCTGTTGTGATGTCAGAAATCTTAAATTGAAGTTGGCACTCTCTGGTGCTATGTACTCTTTTGAAATTCTAATTTGATTGATGTGCTTCGTTCTCTTCTTCGACTAAGACTTTCTGAGGTGTCTCTATTCGTCCATGGATTAACATATTTGTTGAGTGTTTGTCTTTCCAGTTATGTTCAGATTATTGAGTAAAATGACAGTGAAATATGAGCTATCAAATCACAGAAGAGGTTTAATACATCCGAAAAAGTAAATGTGCATTTATGTCCTTATTTCAAAATACTTTAATCAATCACGAACTAATTTGAACATTAATTTTTCATTATCCTTCCATCTGAAACTCATCCGTAGCAGAGGTCATGTCCTAGATCAGTTGACCGTACAGTTAAGAGATGGGAGGACAGGAATCCACAGTCGCGTTCATCAGCGTTTTAACTAGAATCGTTTTACATTACATCCAAACATTACAGTAGATGTTATGTGTGCAAGCCGGGTCAATCTAGGGAGCTTCTACTAATAACCCAATCACACCCCGGCCCCTCGCGCTGGCCTATTGCTTCTAGACAGGCACCAACAAACGCTTCTAGCACCTGTTCTGACGGCAGACGCTGCAAGCTGTTTTAAGACAAAAAAGTATTTGAAATATAACGAAGATGGCCATTTAAAGTTAACACAATGCACTTGATAAAATGCACATTTTCCTCACGGAAAGCATACAATTTCAGAAAAATTTCAGAAAAGATACCTTACCTTCGAGAATTACGCTACATGTATGAGTTGATCTGCTATGCTCAGAATACCTACAATTTTGCTAGTTTTGCTTTGGATTAAAAAAGACAATGGACTTAAAGATCCAAATGCTGTTTTCCTTTATATAACTGTACCCAATGCTGACCAATTATAGATTCTTACTTATGTAATGAACTAGTCCCACAGTACCAAAGAAAAAAATCGATTGCGAAACGATTTAAACCCCGGAATTAAACTGAAGGCCGGTTGAGAAAAAGGTTTTGACTTCGGCCAACCTTGATAATGAAAAGGGTGGAAAAGTAAAATTAATCTTTCTCAAGGTGAATCCGAAGGGACGGCAAGGGCACGTGCTCTCATTTGATATTCCGAAAAATGTTTTCGCATGCCAACATGCAAAGCGTTGAAGGCCGTACCGAAAGATATTCCAGTGCATTGGTTCCTGAACCAAGGCTTTCTCATTAGCGTAACCTTCTATATCCACCTGTAAGGTCTTGCCTGTATTGTGCCCGCAAATTGTATGGAATGTTTTAACTGGTACCACTCCAACTGAACCGATATTGAGAGTCCAGACTTTCAGAATTCTTACCTTGTTGCAAATGTGATTTATTTGCCGACATAATGAAGAATAACGATAAGATCAATTATATTCTAATATGCGCGTTATATTCTCATTATATTCTCTGTCTCCCTCTCTCTCTCTCTCTCTCTCTCTCTCTCTCATTCAGAAATGGGCACCGCAGGTTAGTCGTTTCCATACTGTATCATGTAGCTTATTCATAAGTTCCATACCAATGAATACAATTCAAAAATATTCTAAGGAACGGTAATTGGTGCCTTTATCATATATATTTATAACCTTAATGAAAAAATCTTGGCTCAGCTAACTCATTGTCCCGGCGCATACTAATACTATGGCTAGCCTTTTACTAATGTATTATGCATTCAAATTGACGAATAAAATGAACCATTTCAAATTAGTTCTACGGTGCTCCTGTGCCATTGCATCACCTGAAGTGTTTTATGAATTAAATAAGTCAGACGTCGGTTTAGAGTCACAACACACTGTGATATGCAAGCGCCAAGGGTGCAATGAAGAGTGTGAAATACGGCAAAGGCGTTCGTTTTTGCTGCAGCTGGAATAATTCGAATTAGATTTAAGCATATAATAAATAAAACTTACCTTTATGGTTTTAAGTATTATGTCCCTAATACCTGTGGCAAAATGTTAGAGATAGTTTTACTGAATATGTACATAGCATGGACTTATAGCAAACGACTAAACGTAACCGGATGTGCCACACTGTATTCTCACCGTATGTCAATAAAAAAAGATGGCTTATTTCCAAATTTACATGCTGGTACATTTTGTACAAGTCTAGGTTGGAGTGGGAATTGATAATTGTGTTACTTTGTAATAAAAAATGCACCGCTTAGGAAATTGTGTAACCTTTATTGTAAATGCATGTGCTCGGTCGTATTTTAAAGGTTTGCAGCAATGATGCCATTTTTCATTCTTTATATGACTCGTTACGGTCTGATCCTTTACAACAATTGAAGCACGTTAAACAAAAAGAGAAGACGCGTTGTCTTATGGAAACCATGGAAACGAATGTCTTGTTTATATTTATTATAACACGATGCGACAGATTTTTGTTCAACCAACGATAATGACATGTGCTGTCACCGTAACAGTTTGGACTCTTTTAAGCCAATGAGTATGAAGATGTTTTGATAGCAAAATCCTGTGTTGAACCCAGAGGATTCCTAGGTACTCTCCACCCAGCACGTAAAGGTGATTCTGGGAAAGAGAATCAGAAAATATATGATTACTTTTCAGTCGGCCGTATTCGTACAATAGGACTATGTGTTCAGAATTGCTCGGCCAAAGGCTTTGGAGAACAATGCCCAGTTTGATGTCGTAAAATTGATTGATTGTAGACATTATTGGTGCAGACATTCTGAAAGGGCCCGCAGAGCAACAGCTTGGATATTAGTCTACTCAGCAACAAGTTCCATCCATGTTGCTTCCCTATAATTGGCCTACCTATGACACTTCATATATGTACGCTTATTTAAATGACCATATACTGTACGTTTATTAAATTGACCAAATCCAAGTTTATTGTCATAAAGCCAATGGTAATGCAGTACCGCCTGCTGTGTCTGTCCGTTGTTTCACAGGGTCAACTTATCCTGCAAAAATGCTAAGTGCTGTTTAAGGGATGACAACTCTTTGTTTTGGCGGGAAAAGTTCCGTAAAACGGATTTTCCTGGGATAAACGACATGTTCCCATACTTACCAATGGCTCATTATGAATCTATTCCGACATACAAAGTTAGTCGATTGCTTTTTTTAAGTACGCTTTTGTAATTATCTCTTAAGAGAATATTTCGGCGGGTAGTCATCTATGAAAGGCCATGTGGTCGATTGGCAAGCACAGATTCCAGAATAATTAAGATAAAATGCAACAGATGTGCGTACTGTATTGATATATGACATTATAACTGTAGAATGTAGCGCCATTTGTTTTCATTGTCTCAGTAATGCAATGCACCTTTTTTGGTTTGATTACATAACGCGCTTCAATTATTATACATAATCGGGGCTTAATGAGGTATACAAAGAAGGAAAATGGTACCGTTGCTGAATGTCTTCAAGATATTGCTGAGCATGTGGACATGTAGTCACAATACAGGGTACACAATTTCATAAGCGGGGCATTTTCTATTACAAAATAACGCAATTATCAATTCCCACTCCGACATGGCCAACCAGTATGTCACGCTGGAAGTAAACAATTTTTATCAATGCTGCAAAGATTGGATATTTTGGAATGTCCAGAGAAGCAAAGAATATTATAATTCCGTCTTTTATTTATATATTTAAAGCTGCTGTTATTTTCATTTGAAATACTTAATTTTTCAAAGGTGATTACCAAAAATGCAAAATTGCTGATTGGGATGACATAACATTCTTATTTATAGAACTAAGGGATGTGATATTCTGAAACAATGCCCTGGCCAGACTTCTTACAAAGAAAGATCGGCCCATGTTTGATGTAAACGCGACTTGTGATAACGAAGATCGTCTCTAAAGCGTCCCACTACTCCAAGTTCTCCTAAATCTCGGCCACTCGCTGATTGATATTGCGTGATCCCATTAATTTGATTGAGATGAAGCGAAATTGCTTAACTCAATGCTTCGTTAAGTCCAGTTAAACGGTACCCTTGGGAATAGTAACGTTAATATACTTGAGGTTCCGACTCATTTTGAGAAGCTGTGGACTGCTGAATTTTCCCCTGAGCTCACGTTCAATAAAGTCCGGTGGAGACACGTCCCTGTCTGGAACGTAGTGGGTGTAATTAAGTCGATCCAATTGTTGAAGAATGGAATATTCAAAAGAAAAAGGCTGATGTTATTATTTAAACTGTCACGCACTTGAGAAAATTTCCGATGGAAAACAAACCCTGCTTCCAATCAAAGATATTTATTGAGAGAGCAGAACTGCATGCGAAATTGCATAGGATCAAAATAGAAAATGGCTATTTTTGATTAAATTTATGATTTCAAAATGTTGGTAAATTGATTTCATTGGTTCGGATGGCATATAAAATAATTTGTACTGGTTCGGATGAGAAGCGATCTGATTTATGTGTAGGAAATTACATGTCCAATTTACTTAACCTTACACCAAAAACAAATTGACTCTTTCTTGACTGTCATTTGATCTGCTAGAAAAGAAAATCATCATTTTTTAATCAACAGCTCGTATTGAAAATATTGCCTCCAATATTTCGATGTCTATCTAGATTTAGCTATGC